TTTTTTTCAAATGGCTCACATAAACTTATGCTCCTGAAGAAACAAAGACATTGAGCTAAATGTTCAAGTTGCTATCTTGAAATCAGACACGCATAATTTCCTTTTCTTGTTTCCCACATTTTTCAGGATGACACAATCGAAAAGAGACCAACTAGGCTAAACCTAATCCTCGCACCGACCAAGACGAGGTCCCATTCCTCGTCGTCGCTACCCCACGAAAAATCAAGAAAATCGAAACACAGACACTATTCGGCGAGTGGGCTGCAGAAAACGACGAGCCTGAAGAGCTTGGAGGAGCTCGAGCTCGAGGAGGTGAAGGGGTTTATGGACTTAGGGTTTACTTTCAAAGGGGAGAAATTGAGCAAGCACCTGGTTAGGCTGATCCCGGGATTGCAGAGGATCGACGGCGACGGAGGCGCCGCCGCCGGAGACGATATCGAGGAGGAGAGTAGTGGGGTTGTGATGAGGCCGTATTTATCGGAGGCGTGGCTCGTGAAAAGTGGCGGCGGCGACGATTGTGAGTTGCCGGTGGCGAGCAGGGTTTGCACGGCGGTGGATATGAAGATGCGGCTGAGGTATTGGGCACGCAGAGTCGCGATGGCTGTGCAGCGCGATTTATAACGTAATTATTGAAAATAATGAATTGTATGAGGATGCTTGGATACAAATATTTTCAAAAAAATCCCAACATTTTTAACGCCGAAAATTAGTGAAACAACATAATTTCAGAGGATAGGAAGGGACATAGCAGCACTAGAAAAAGCAGATCAGCTGAATAGCCAAAAAAACATATTACTTGTACATTATTTGCTTGTTTGTCCTATTGCAAAGAAGTAGGGGTTATCTACTTCCTGATACTAATTCAGGATAAACACAAAGTTGAAGAATCATTCATCCATCATACTGAACAAACCAAACTTAATTAAGTTATACTAATCATCCTTCATCTTGTGCTTCAACTTAGTTGCCCAAATAACACTTTCCAATAGCTTCCCCTGAGGAGCAGATGAAATTGCCAAAAGTTCCTGCAAAACAATGCACAAATCAAAGATTAGAAGCTTTTAGGGATTTATAACTCTGTTCTCTCAAATTAAAGCAGCAAAAAATGATTGGTTACCCTTTGTAGGACGGCACAAGCAGAATTCTTACAACGAACCACCTCCTTAAACAAGGATGAGCATATCTCTTTGAGGGAATCGTCTGAAAAAGACTCGCATAATCAATCAATTGATTCCTATAATTACGTGGTTTGTTTCATACTATAAACACCAAAGAAACGCCCATACCGTTGGCGGTGGCTGGGGGGAACCTGAGAAAGGGGTGATTTATTGGAAAGGGGCGATGGAGGATTCCAATATGGTACAGTAGCCTCAGGCAATCGTCCCTCAGGTAACCATTGCCGGGGGTTTCAAGAAGGACCGCTTGAGGAATAGGCGCGAACCAGACTGTTGGCCGGGCCTGAAGCACACGATCTCCGATCGACTCTTGAACATGTTTCTACCCGATTTTTCGTCTGCAGCCATCGCGTACATCCCGTACAGCAACTGGACGCCGTTGGTGCCGTTGCCGCCGGCGCCGACGCTCTTCAGGGACAAGTACATGGACGCGTAGCCTTGGCTCCGGGCTTCGGGGTCAAAGCCGTTGGGGTAGAATAAGATAGCCCAGCGGTGGCCTCCCGCCGTGAATTCACGGCTCTGGACGGCCTGCCCTGCGCCCAGCCGTGCTTTGTGACGGGAGTAGTCCCTCAGCACCCAAACGTGGGAACTCTTGTGCAGCTTTCCGACTTCTTCTTCCATCACAGATTGCGTACCAATTTTTGGGCGAAGAATATTTGTACGAATTTTTCTGGGCATAGGGTTCCGACGATCCTATTAATGTTTTGGTATAAATGGGGGGAATTTCACTTTTTGTAGCCAAGTATACATACTTTTCGGTTTTGATATCCATGATTTAAATTTAATCATTTTCAGTAACTCAAGTATTCAAAATCCATTATTATCATCCCAATCGTCAGTTGACCGTGAGTCAACTGACCATCACCTTCTCTAGCCGGTCGTCTCTTGCTTCAAGTGATAGAAAATGGCGGGGTTTTCCATTATAGCACCACAAAGCTGTAGACAATGAGGGAAAAAAAAAAAAAGAATTTGAAGTATTTGCAATGAGCAGTTCAAGAGGAAGCTAGAACTCTCGCTGGAACTCCAAGATTAATGGTGCTCCAATGGAGATGACCTGCAATTGTGGAGAAAAAGTATACTTGAAGACCTCTTAGACCCAAAATAATATGGTAAGAAGATATTGGGCATACCCTAAATATGGGGTAGTTAATTATTTTGTTTTTTGTTTGTGTTTTCATGTTGTTTTTAAATATGCTTTAAGAGTGATTTTTTCGAATGTCCTAAATATGCCCTAAATCCCTCTTTTGCAGCAAGAGCAAGGAGTGAAAATTTTATACGGTTTTTGTAGTTTTTATACGGTTTTTGTTTTCAGAACATGATTATAAATATGCCCTAAGAGTGAAATTTTTGCATGCCTTGAATATGCCCTACATCCCATTTTTGCAACAAAAGTTCAGTTTTTGCGGATTTTTTATATGGTAAGATCCGGAAATTTGCGTAAGAGCAAGGAATATTATACCCGGTTTGCTGGAAAAATCAAATAAACATCAATATCAAATTGAGCAATACAAGTTGAATAATGCTGAAATAGAAACTCAACTCTTGGTGGCAATGAAAATAGTGGATGACATGAACAATGCATTGGTTGAAATTGAGCAATACAAGTTGAAGAATGCTGAATTGGAAGCTCAGCTCTTGGTGGCAATGAACAATGTGGATGACATGAACAAATGCATTGGTTGTGTGCAATAATAAGATCAAAAAACTATGAGCTGCTACAATTCTTCTCTCATTGTTATACCTTGTCAAATTATGTTTTAACTAGATTTACATAGTTATGGTTGGTGTAATTTGAAGCATTATTATTATGTAATGCTTTATTTATGCAATTCATGTACCATTTTCAGTATGAATATTGCAATGAATATTGTTATGCAATTCATGTACCATTTTCAGCATTTGGTTTTCAATGAATATTGTTATGTATTTGCAATATGAAGAAGACTCCTAAACCACAACAAAACATGAACAAAACCTAAACAAAGGTTCACTTTGTTACCAAACACTGAACAAAACCTGAACAAAGAGTCATTGCAATATTCATGTACTATTAAGGACAGACAAAGGATATCAGAAACTGACCAAAACCTAAAACACATCCAAACCAAAGGTTCACACCAAAAAAAACATCACTACAGAACAAAGGTTCTATTCCAGTGCACACTACAACAATAATTTTTTTCAAACATGTCCATAAAACATCGCACAACTATCTATCAAGACAATTACACATGACACAAGATAATGTATTTCTGTCCATAACACATCACACAACAAATCAATACATAAATTATCTCCATCTTCAGCATATCCTCAAATGGATTTTTGTCCCTCATTTTGCCTTGAAGTCCCCTGAGCAGCAGCAGCAGCAGCTCTTAAATTTGAAAGGATAATATAGTTGATACCTCCCTTCACAATAACTAGTCCAATTCTGGAAGATGATTGCATCATCTAAAAGGAGAAAATTTGATTTATCAAGCTTTTATATATATATATATATATGAGAAAAAACAATATGCACAAAAATAAAAAAAAACTTACATTAATTGAAGACATTCTGTTTGTGCCTCCACTTAAGTTTACACCACCAACTGTGGCAGACTCTTTAAAAAATGTCATGATTAATTGATTACATTATTAAAAAAACATTATTATAATTTTATCTTTGTAACGCTTTTTAAAAAACGTCGCAAACACATCAATTTTACTTACACTTAACATATTTATGTTGCTAGAATTTTTTTTGTTGTAGTGATAATTTGCTAAAAGAGCTTTAACAAAATTATTACCTTAACAACTACTACCTCCTATTCTTTTTAAATGTCATTTTGGCTTTATCAACTATTAATCAAAATAAATGTCGTTTTGGATCTTTTGTACATATTTTTCCATTATTACCCTCATTTAGTTAATCAATACACTATGTCTTTTCATATTCTGTTCATCTTTTTTTTAAAACATCTATCTCTATCTTCATTAATGAGGGTTATAATTGACAAAAAAATTATTCTTAATTAGTGTGCAACTTTCCAAAACGACACTTATTATGAATAGGAGGGAGTAATAGATAATTACAAGAACAGTAACACTGGTCCACAAAACCATCAAAGAGTCCCTAAATAAATCCATTAATTTCCTACTGTTTTAACATCATTAATTATCAACTTCGTTTTTGTCTGGCTTTTTAGCAGAAAGGATCAAAGTTTGAAACGTCTCATTTATCAATTTTAGCCTGTGTGAGTGAGTTCACACTGAATTTCCTACACGTGGCGGCTCCACCTGCCCTCTCATATCCCTTACTCTGTTCACACTTACAGTTTCACCCTTTCTCTCTCTACACACACTCTCCCTCTCTCTTACCCTGCTTTTAAGCTTCCATAGATTTTCTCTCTTTCCCCTTTTTATCTCTTGATTATTCCCACTTTTCTCCATCCCCTTTCCAATTTCTCTCACTATCAAACACGCCCTCAAATCGTTTTCCGATGGGCTGCGAGCCTCCGGTCCCCAATTGATCCACCATGACGTCACTTTCCGATGGGGTTTCTTTCATCTCGGTCCTCTCCGTTCTGATCTCAATTCTCTCCGGCGGCGCCTCGGCGGACACCGAATTCGACCTGGGCACGCTCGGCGTCTCCAGCCTGAAGCTACTCGGCGCCGCCAGCGTGGCCAACGGAAGCTGCGTGGAGGTCACGCGCCCTGCCGTCGTCCCTGACTCCGCCGTCGGGCGCGTCCTCTACGCCGACCCCATCGAGCTCCTGCATCCGGGAATCCTCCTCCCGGCGGACTTCTCCACCTTCTTCACTTTCTCCATCTCCAGCCCGAACCCCTCCTCCTCCGCCGGCGGCGGCCTGGCCTTCGTCATCTCGCCGGACGCCGACTACGTCGGCGCCGCAGGTGGATTCCTCGGCGTCACCGACGCCGCCTCCGGCCCCCGCGGCGGCGTCGTCGCCGTGGAGTTCGACACTCTGATGGACGTGGCCTTCGAGGACATCAACGGCAACCACGTGGGCCTTGACCTGGGCTCGATGGTCTCAGCCCAGGCCCGCGATCTTGGGGACGCCGGCATCGAGCTCAAGAGCGGCGACTCGGTCAACTCGTGGATCGAGTACACCGGGTCAACCGGGTCACTCCGCGTCTTCATCTCCTATTCCAATCAGAAGCCCGAAAGCCCGATTCTATCCGCCGTCGTGAACCTCGCCGACCACCTAACCAACGACTCCGCCTACGTGGGCTTCTCCGCGTCGACCCAAGGCAGCACGGAGGGCCACACGATCCAATGGTGGAGCTTCAAATCGTCGTTGAGCCCGAACCCGGCCCACTCGAACCCAGCCGGCCTGAACACGCCTTCCCCTGCGCCACAAGCCCAAATCGCAAACCCAACGCCGCCGCACGACGAGAAAAAGGTCCTCCGGTCGGGAACCATCGCCGGCGTCGTGACGGCAAGCGCGTTTTTCCTCGCGTTCTTCGCCTTCGCCTTCGTGTGGGTTTACCACAAGAAATTCAAAGGGGAAAACACGAAATCCGAGACGCTAGGCTCGGACGTAATCAAAATGCCGAAGGAATTTACCTATAAAGAGCTAAAATCGGCCACTCGAGGGTTTGATCCTAACCGAGTCATCGGCCACGGTGCCTTCGGCACCGTGTACCGTGGCACCTTGCCGCCCACCAGCGGCCGCACCGCCACCACAGTGGCGGTCAAGCGCTGTAGCCACACGGGTCAAGGGAAAATCGAGTTCATATCCGAGCTATCGATAATCGGGACACTGAGGCACCGGAACCTCGTCCGCCTCCACGGATGGTGCCACGAGAAGGGCGAGATTTTGCTCGTTTACGACATGATGCGCAACGGGAGCTTGGACAAGGCGTTGTTCGAGTCGAGCACGGTTCTGCCGTGGGCCCACCGGCGCAAGATTTTGCTAGGCGTGGCGTCGGCATTGGCCTACCTACACCAAGAGTGCGAAAACCTAGTGATCCACCGAGACGTCAAGACTAGCAACGTTATGTTGGACGAGGGGTTTAACGCGCGGTTGGGAGACTTTGGGCTCGCTCGGCAAATCGAGCACGACAAGTCGCCCGACGCCACCGTGGCCGCGGGCACAATGGGGTACTTGGCGCCCGAGTACTTGCTAACGGGCCGGGCCACGGACAAAACCGACGTGTTTAGTTACGGAGCTGTCGTGCTCGAGGTTGCCACCGGGCGCCGGCCCATCGATAAGGAGCTCAAGGGCGGGAATTTGGTCGATTGGGTGTGGGGTTTGCATAGGGATGGGAATTTGGTGGCGGCCGCCGATCGGAGGCTCGGTGGGGATTTCGACGGGGAGGAGATGGGACGGGTTTTGATGATCGGGCTGGCGTGCTCGAGCCCGGACCCGGAGGCCCGGCCCGCGATGCGGGCCGTGGCCCAAATGTTGTTGGGCGATCGGGAAGTCCCGGTCGTGCCTAGGGTGAAGCCCACAACGAGTTTCAGCACGGCCCAATTGCTAATGACGTTGCAAGACAGCGTGTCGGATTTGAACGGGATAGTCGGGCTTTCGGCCACCTCGTCGGAGATTAGTTTCGGTGGCGGCGGCGGCGTAGGAATGGACTTGGTGTAACGGCTATATGGATTTAATTTTGGGGGTTTATAATAAGGGGGTGTCATATTTATTTAGTCAATATATTCATTGATTACTACATAAACTTTTTGTACTTAAATTAGGAATTGATTTCTATACATATTTTTCTAAAGTGTGGGTTATGTTTTGGACCGTTTTGAATTGGTCGTGTGACGTGCTAATAATGAGAGCAAAGAAAATAGGGCTTACTTAGTTATGTAAAGTGGGGAGATTGAAAATGGTGGGTGTCAATTTTATTTGCACTTGCTTGAATATAGATTGGTCATTTTTTATTCATGAAAATGAATAACAAAATTGGAATTTATTGGTGGGAGGTTGCTTTCCTAGAGTGTAACGTATAAGTCAAAAAGGCAGTGCAAAGAGTTTGATTTAAGGTTTGGTAAAGTGGAAAAATGATATAATTGGTTGAAGAAAGGCATAATTTTTCATCATAATTATTGTAATATATAGTTGTTTTTTTATTATTCATACTTTTTTTTCCTTAAATCTTTAGAATTTTTTCAAACCTTTTTAATTCGTGACTTCTCGACATATAGACATACATAAACGGAAACTGACGCTAGTAATTTGAATAGAAGTTTCGGGCTCAATTACATTTTTTAGAATACGAACCTTATGGCTTGAACTTCAAATGGTGACAATTAATCTTGTTTGTTTTGTAAAATAATTGAATGTCCGTTATAAGTTACTTCATATAATTTTATTCAATGATAATGTTTTTGAATTAAATTAGATGTAATAAACGGGTATTAAGTCGTGTCACGTGTGGATCAAAAGTGAGAAAGTTTTTTATAATAAAAACTTTTACTATTCTACATGTGACGGGCATTCACAAGAACTGCACCCCATCTTTTTGTTTGTCTACTGCAATTTCTGATCTTGAGCATGGTTAATTAAATATACTTTTTCTTCATGAATTTATTTTTTTTTTTGTTTCTCATAATATATATAGTGGTTTAAAGTTAATAAGCCTGTTCTTGAATATAAACTTATTAATTCCTACCTATATTGGATATGGGAATTTTCATGTTAATTTGTTCAATTAAGATTCAGGCAAAATTGCGCATATCACAATTTTTCCAAACTTCTGTAAAAAGTGAAAAAATAAAATAAAATTGATACTTGCATCACATTTTTTTTTTTTTTTTTNACAATATTATTTTCTTCATGGCGAAACAATAACTGATCTATAATTCTTCACATTCGATCGTGCAAGTAATTAAAGTTCAAACAAAGAATCAAGAACACCAATAATACAAAAATAACAACAATAAAAAAAATGGATGGTCCAAAATTAAAAATGATTATTAAATCAAAATTCAACATCAAAACCACTTTTTCATTTTTCTTTGTTTGGTTTTGCTCCTCTATTTTTTTCATTTTTGTATTAAAAATGTCCAGTTGTTCCATCATCAACTGAATTTTGCACCAGTGGTCACATGATCAAGATTCGTCTCTTTCAGATTCATTCGGACGTGACACGAGTGTCACAAACAAAACAACTAGCAACAATTAATTAATTATGTTATCTTGGAGTTAATTAAATAAACAAAACTGCTTGTATATATATAAAAATAAACTAAAGTTTTATTTATTTATTTATATATATATATATGAAAAGGATATGCACGTGTATGCAAGTTCCATCAAGAATAATCTTTATCTAGTTGAAGTTGGAGAAAGAAAAACGGCATGAATGTGCAAGGATTTGGGTATAGTTTCACATGCTCACTCACTTTAGAGCTTTTGTTTGGTGTTTGTAGCAATGCCCATTAATTTGTTTGCACTTGATATATAAGACTTTTTTTGAAACTTTTAATTATTATTATTTAAATTTATGTTTGGAGGTGAAATTTTCCGTGAGATTTCTTATGTATATTTTTTTATATAAGTAACAAAATCGATGATAACTAATTATGGATGTGATAATTATTAATAACACAAATGGGAGTAGAATCTTTGATTACTATTAGTAACACTATTGAATTGTGTGGTAATAAACACTTTGTATATTCAAAGAGAGAACATAAATTTAAAAAAAAAACGAATACAAATAATAAGAGAAAAATATATAAACGCATATAAGTTTTAGTTACTCATTAATTTTTCTACTAATAAGTACTCATTACTTTTCATAAAATGTTTCAAGTGACGAAAAATAATTAAATAACTTAATTAAAGAATGAAAAAATTGACTAATAAAATTAATTTTATACTGTATATATATATATAAGGTCGGTCATTTCGAACTCGATCCGCCGGGTCGGGCTGGGCGAGGGATTTGGTCATGTCTACTCCACATGTACCAAAATAATTTTTCTCAACTGCTATTCACCACCCCCTTTTACTAGTCACCGCCCCCCCCCATTTACTCTTTTGCCCTTAATTCCTTTTTTGGATTTCATCTCTCTAAACTTTCTATCTCTCTAAATTTCCGAACTTCAACGAACGATTCGA